CTTCCTAACAATACAAATCCCCTTGTGGCGGTATTTGGGGACTATGACGTAGAAGACAAATGGTAGCACAAGAGGTTCAGGATGGTGCTTCGTGTATCCCAGGAATAAAAACAATATACAATGTATTATTTAGATTTAATTTCCGACTATATCGAGTCACTATCAGGTCACCTTCAGTGCACCGACATAAAAACTCAAGACGTACATACATTTAGGTTTAAGTTTCGATTATATCAAGGCAGACTTAGAACACTATCAGTATACCTAACTCAACCATTAATTATTTGTATGATCGCTAAGATCATACAAATAATGTTATTTATAAAGTTTAGAAATTGTAAATTTGGGACTCATCAATAGAGAATATATCAAAGTCAAAGTCAACACGTGACATACAGTCTACTGCTAAATTTACTGCTATTATTAGAGGGTGGAGAAAATCATAGAAAACTTTACCCACGTAAAATACAGATTAGCTTAAATATTACGTCTTAAAGAATTAACATGTAAGAATAAATTAAATACAGAAGACATTAATAGCTATTCTCATATGAAAAATATATATTGCTTAAATTTTTCATGATATTTTCATAATGAATTAACAATAGAAATAATACAAAGTTTGATAATGAGTCTTAAAGACTGATAATGAGTCTTAATGACTGATATCATCCTAGTACTGAACTGACCACTAGAAACATCTCGACTGAACATTATAATTTGATTTTATTATTTATTTTATTTTTCAATATATTTGTGAAACATTACGACAATAGTTTGATTTAAATTATTATTTTTGTCATGTTTCACCAGCAGGTAAGCGAGAATTGAAACTCAGCTATTAAATATTTTAATTTTTTTTTATCTAAGAATTGAAGTAACAATAGACCCACATATCTTTGAAATGATTATACAGTTCGTATACTCACATATATGAAATTATTCAAATTCAGGATAACTGTTTTGATATTTTTGTTGATAATAAATAATAAACGAAACCACGTTTCAAAAAATAATTCAATTGCAAATATGATCTTCAGTGATTACATTTGTTGATTCATGTTACAATTTTCAATGCTCATCTTTCTTAGTATGCAGAAGAGAATAAAAATCTGGATTAATGCAGTGATGAAATATCATGTTTCTTCTGTCTTGGCTTTATTATATTACAGTTCTAAAATAGTCCTCAACCACCTGTTTCATCCCAATAGTAATTAACTAATATAATGATAAAATTAATCTGAGGCCACGGTAGTGTCCAGCCAAGTCAAGCAAAGTCGAACAAAAAAGCTGGACTACTATACCATGCTTTTCTCGAAGCAGTCCAGGCAATTTTCGACCCTCGCTAACTTCATTATAGATAAAATTAGAAGCCTTATTTCACTTAAAAATCAGGCATTGTATAAACAATATATTTCAAATTCCATTCCATTTGAATCAGTAGCTTAAGAATTATATTTACTCAAATCTTTTCACTTTTGTCACTCAGGTTGACTGACTAACCGATCATGCAAATTTAGAGGCTCCTTTAGCAATCTCAACAACATCTTATAAGGATCATATCAATATAAGAAATCTTTTAGCTTGCAAATATAATACATTGACTTGGCCATCGCATGAAAACACAATGTATCTCACAAGTGATACATATAATATTGAATTGTTTATTGCGATTGACCAATCAACCTATTTCATTCAAAATATAAAAAATTATTAATAGTGATATAGTGACTAGAAGATATTGTCAGGTTAGATTATTAAGTAATTACTTGAGGCTATAGCAAGGCCAACTTTAGTACAGGCCATGAAATGAATATCTGTCATAGAATAGAAGTGGTCTAACAATCTCGCCATTAGTTGAGCTGGTATACTAATGCAAATGGAAGCTTCCCAAAACCTTTGCAGTTTGAAGTTGATTAATTTGAGCTTTTGGTATAAATTCTATATTTTTCAATTGTGTACAGTGTAATACATGTGTTGCTGTTGATAATTTGTTGAAATCTCAACATCAAACTATAAAAAACAAAGTGTTTAATTTGTTCACAAATTTCAGTGAAACGAAATCAATTTTGTGTTGTTTAAGACTTTCGCAGTTTGAAGTTGAATATTTTACGATTTCAGTTCTAATCCTCTATTCATCAATTTTCTATAGTGTTATTTAGATGCTAGTGTTGATAGTTTGTGGATAACATAACATCAAATTATAAAAAGTAAGTCTTTTGTGTGTACCGATTTAATCGAATCGAATTTCTGTTGTGTTTTGAGTACGGATTACTTACAAAAAATTTTTTTGTGAAATATAGTGTAGACAATAGGTATTCCGTAGATAATCCAGTAAGTTTCAAGCTTAGAATAGGTGAGTTTCTAGTGAAAATATTTTCTTAAAATGACGAAAACTTGTTGCATTCCTGGTTGTGAATCAAATTATAACAGCACCCTGCGGGCGGGTGGGCAACTAGTGTCGAATTTCAATTTCCCTAAAAATGAATTTTAAAGAGTAAAGGGTTGAAATGTATACCACGAGATAATTGGGCTCCAACAAAATATTCAGTTGTTTGTGGCTTGTACTTTATTTGCATTTAAAAATGTCTTATTTCACATGTGTGCCATATTTGAAAAAATTACTAGACATTTCTCTCAAACGGGCCTTTTTAAATAATATACATCAGAAAGCAATTTTGAGTAATCTCACTATTTCAAGCGTGCCATTGGATGAGTCCTTGAAAGATTTTTATTGTTGCTGTTTATGTGGTGAAGACATTAAAAATATTCTCAACATGTTGTGTTCCATTTTTTTCGAATATCTTATTCAATGTCTACACAAAAAAATGAAGACGGACACGAGAAAACTAAATCGAAAAATAAACGAAGAAAGCTCAATACTTTCATAAAGTAATTTGTTGTTTGCGCTAATCAGAAATATAATATTTATTTGTACTTAGGTAAATAATTCAATTTGAGTAATTCCTACAGCGTCTCTTTAAAAACTATTCTCTCAAATAATTCAATAAATTTGGTCAGGCAACTTTTCATGTGCATAAATCCTTACTGAATAATAGAAGTACTTTTTACGCAGTGGGGCTTTATCGAAAACATCGTTGTTTTCTTGCAATAATAAATATTTTACATTTTTCTTTTACAGAAATATGTACTCACAATACCCAATATGATATTCTATATGTTATAAATACTAATAATATTTCTTATTTGTTCGCAATGTACAAAAAGGGTTGAAATAATGCTTAAAAGTTTGGGAACCAGCGACTAGGAGAGTATACCACTCAAGTCAATTTGGCAACACCGCCGGACTACACTCTTCATGACCTGTAGTAAAGTTCGTCGTGCCACTACCTAACTCTACTTTCAAGCCATGAACATAGACTTGGCAACGCCGCATCAGCCCATTCCGGTTGATCTTCGATCGATCTTCGAACATCGCTCTACTTCATGTTATAATTGCCTTTTCAGAAAACTTTTCAGCGAAACGGTATTTTGTATAAAAAAAATAGTTTTAACAAAAATTGTAGATCATGCAATTATTTAGAGAAATTAATAATACACTTTTTTTCTAAGAAGAACTATACCTGAGTTATAGCGATTCAAAAGTGGTTTTTATAGTATGTACACTAACAAGTTCACTTTAACAATTAGAATTGACAATATAAACGATTGACGCTATAAAATAAATGGCTTGTAAGTAGAGTTAGGCTGTGGCACGGCCAACTTTACTACAGGTCATGAAGAGTGTAGTCCGGCGGTGTTGCCAAATTGACTTGAGTGGTATACTTTCCTAGTCGGTTGTTCCCAAACTTTCAAGCATTATTTCAATTCTTTTTGTATATTGCGAACAAATAGGAAATGTTATTAGTATTTATAACATATAGAGTATTATATTGGGTATTGTGAGCACATATTTCTGTAACAGAAAAATGTAAAACATTTATTATTGCAAGAAAACAAAGATGTTTTTGATGAAGCCGCACTGCGTGAAAAATACTTCTATTAGTCAGTGGGATTTATTCACATGAAAAGTTGGCTAACCAAATTTATTGAATTATTTGAGAGAAAATTATTTGAAGGAAACGCTGTAGTAGTTACTCAAATTGAATTATTTACTTAAGTATAAATAAATATAATATTTCTGATTAGCGCAACCAATAAACTGCTTTATGAAAGTATTGAGCTTTCTTCGTTTACTTTTTGATTCAGTTTTCTCGTGTCTGGCTTAATTATTTTTGTTTTGATTAGTAATTCAATAAGATATTTAAAAAAATGGAACACAGCATGTTCAGAATATTTTTATTGTCTTCACCACATAAACAGCAACAATAAAAACCTTTCAAGGACTCATGCAATGACACGCTTAAAATAGTGAGATTACACAAAATTGCTTTCTGGTGTATATTATTCAAAAAGGCCCGTTCGAGAGAAATGTCAATAATTTTTTCAAATATGGCACACATGTGAAATAAGGCATTTTAAACTAAATCTGTAGGTATTTTCAGTCCTCCCCGTTGCAAATAATTGAAATATTATAAATAAAATCATTACTTACAAATATTCTGTTTTGAGGAAAGTTTGGATTTTGAAAGAATGTGTTATTGTTAGTTAGATTTGTGAACAGCGATCTGTTTATTCAATGATTATCGGTTATAATTAGGTTAGAAAATATACTTATTAGAAACTCACCTATCCCAAGCTTGAAACTTACTGAATCATCTATTCAGTAAGTTTCAGTAGAATAATACCTATCCTCTACACTATATTTCACAAAAAAATTATTTGTAAGTAATCTACAACTATATTTCACTACAAAAAGTTGATAAATAGAGGATTAGAACTGAAATCGTAAAATATTCGACTTCAAACTACGAAAGTCTCAAACAACACAAAATTGATTTCATTTCACTGGAATTTGTAAACAAATCAAACACTTTGTTTTTTTATGGTTTGAAATTGAGATTTCTACAAATTATCAACATCAACACATGTATTATGGTCCTTCGAGCCGGATGGACTGTAGTCGACTGAGTGGAGTGGACTGTAGATCCATAGGTCGCTGGTTCATATCCGGCTCCAAGGACGATGTTTAGAGATGTGGAGTGCTATTTCCCCACAAGGGAAGGCCGTGACAAGGCCTCAATCTGCCTACTCCTTGTCAGGGGTATGATTAGTTGCCGACTGATGGACAACCAATTTAATGCTAAATTCTCCCGATTCCTGGAAATCGGTATGAAAGGGTTTCGGTACTGACAAGGCCTCAATCTGCCTACTCCTTCTCAGGTGAATGAGTTGACTACTGATGTAGAACTGATTTTATTAAGAGAATATTAACGTATTTATACATAAATTAAAACTGCTTACTCGCTAAAGTGAAGTTCATCACACTCATGCGAGTATGGTGAACCCATGATATTCGCAATAGTTGCGTTAACCTACTTACTTATTGCCTAATGCATTATTGAAATATTTTCCTATGCTAAGTATATAAATCTATTCAAAATCTTCAAGATTCTGAACATACACTGTATAAAATTGAACAATATAGAATTTATACGAAAAGCTCAAATTATTTAACTTCAAAGTGCGAAAGTTTTGGGAAGCGTCCTTTTGCATTACTATACCAGCTCAACAAATGGCGGGATTGCTGGACCACTTCGATTCTGTGGTAGATATTCATTTCATGGCCTGTACCACGAAGTATAGATATTTCAATATCTATACTAATATATAATAATTCAAATTTGATCACAATGCGGACAAAAAAGTACAAAAAACATGCAAACTTAGTCAAAAATATGCTAAATATAGTATATTATAATCTGAGTTGGAAACTCTGACCTCGACAGCCTTGAATTTATGACGTTGATATTTTTGGAGCCACTTTTGAGGACGGCGACAGTTCGTTTTATTAGAATACCACTCTAAAATATCGTACCAAAATATCTTCTCACCACTACTCTCAATTGGTGTAACTGCACAAGCAAGAAGGCTAGATGGATAAAGTTAAACTCAATTTAAATGCAGTGCCAAGTATTTTTCTTTATTTACCCTTACGTGTCAAAAACAGTACACTCTCAAAGAGAATATCCAGCTGAAAGAACCAGCATTGAAGGAACGTTGTGAGAAATTGAATGAAGCCTTTGAAAACTCAGATTCAATTTGTAATTTTGTTGATTTAACATTCAATTATAAATAAAGATTTTAATATGTAAATCGTGGAATATAAAAACTTTTGAAACTAACAGCATTTTTTTACACTCTAGTTTTTCCATCCAACGTAACTGAATGTTCACAAATAAACAGTATACAAATTATTAATCAGATTTTAGTATATTCATATATGCATGTAAATGTTTTTATCAATGAAAATAAACTGTCTCCTAATGATTTAAGATGGATTTTACAACTGAAACTGATAGTCTCAACTGGAAAATTTGCTTGCTCGTTACAAATATGATATCAGAATCATTCTATCGTCCAGAGCACAAGTCAAATGAGAAAGAAAATGATAACACGTATTAATCATTTCTATGACTATAACAGCAAAATTTATACTTAAATAGTTACAGTACCGGGCAAGTTTAATAGTGGTATTACCGCATTTTTCTAGTGTGTTTTTTCAGAGAAGTGATAAAAGGTAAAACTTATACGCATTGTATTAAATAAGGTAGACGTACGAAGATACTAATGTGAAATGGCCAAACTTTCTGAAGGAATTTCTATTCAACAACTTATTGATGGAGGTGCAGAATTTGAAGTTTCTATAAAAGAGGCAGAAGATTATGAGGAATATAACTCTGAAGATGAAAATATACAGGAAACTCTATTAAAATTCAATAACATGAATTGCTTGCAAGATGAGAATGGTTATAATGAGGGTGAGCCATTTGAAATTATCGCGAAAGAAATGATCGATTTGATTCCTGATGGTGGAGTAAAAAAGAAAGTCTTAAGAGAAGGTTATGGGGAGCTACCACCTGATTTGGCAGTTGTGAAAGTTGACTATAATGCATATGTAGAATATGAGGCTACTCCATTTGATTCTACTTATAGTAGAAGAAAAAAACATGAGTTTATACTGAATAATGCTGAAGTTATTCCAGGATTAGATATTGGTGTACAATCTATGAAAATTACTGAGAAGGCTCAATTTCTCTTAACACCTCAATATGCTTATGGAGTGTTGGGTTGTTTAGGTAGAGTACCAAAAAACACTTCAGTTTTATTTGAAGTGGAACTACATGAAATTGTAGATTCTGGTGCTGCTCTATCTTATAATCAATTGAGTGAAGACAATAAACAACAATTTCAGCAAGTCTACAATTATTGTTTAGCTATATGTGCTAGAGCAAAAGATAAATTTCAAAAGAATATTAACGATGCTCTTAAAGAATATAATACAGCAATGTACAAACTAGAAAATGTTGAATTGAAAGACTATCACGAACAAGAAAAGCAACAAGATCTTCTTCTTCGTTTATATACTAATATCTTAGTTTGTTATACCAGATTAGACAAACCAAAAAAGGGTTGTATTGCTGCAAATAAGATTTATGAAATTGCAAAAGGTATACGAATGAAAATTCCTGCAAAAGTTTATTTCAGCAATGCAAAGTGTCTGAGAATGTTAGGAGAGTTTGCACAAGCCAAGAGAAAATTAGAAATAGCTCGGTCTTTAGAACCGAGAAATCCAGATATAGCCAACGAATTTATTCTTCTTAAAGAGGATATAGAGAAACATAAAAAAACAGAAAGTAGCATGGCTAAAGCATTTGTAGTAAAATCATAAAAGGAACACAAAACCAGAATTATGTGCAAATGTTTTTTAGTCTACTGGCCAAATATTTTTTTTTTAGTTTTTTAATATTGTTATATTGCTATTACCATAAATTGATGAATTTTTATATTCTTGACATTTTTTGAAGAAGATTGACCATTACATGTTCTATTTGTTTTGCAAATTGTTACAATTTCTTATTTGTTCAGATAAAATATAGATTTAAAATCAAAATTGCCATTTATTCAGTTTTATTGCATATATATTTAATTGAAAATTGTGTGTGCATAATTTCTGTGGTAATTGTCTCTGGTAGTTCAAAGTAACTTTTCTATTAAGTAGCTATATATATATATATATATATATATATATATATATATATATATATATATATATATATATATATATATATATATATATATATATATATATATATATATATATATATATAGTAAGCTCTTTACATGTGAAATAGATCAATTTTATAAATTTTACATGATAGGAAGAAGTAGAATTCATTAATTCTAATTAATAAAAAGATAAAAACGCTGTAGCGTTTTTGATTCTTTAAGAACAAAATATTTAGTAAGAAAGGATAAATATATGTGATTATTGTTGTGTAACATTAAGAAAAACTTTGGTCACCAGCAAATTTGCATTAACTAATAATAATGAAATGTATTCAGCAATAGCTCTTACAGAATTTCTATAATATTTACATTTATGAAAATTCATTACGATAGTTCAAAATTTTTTAACAATTATTTGTTTCAAACAAACTTAGACTATAATTAAATCCAATTAAGTTATTCAAAATTAAATAACTAAGAATATGTTGATGAATATAAACAATTTTTGTGGATCTTAGCCACGTGTTTTAATTAAATAATTTATAATCCAGTAAGTATACAGGTATGTATTACAGTGGTTTGTTATAGAACACACTAGTGGACTTAACTTATATTATAGTTTATGAATTGTATTGTTAAGAAATTTTTTTGTCTTTTTATATAAAAAATAGTTTTTCTGATAGATAAAAATCATTTCTTTGAAATAAACAAAAATTTGTATTTTAATTGACGCGATTCCGTCATCTGGTCTGAGGATGATTAATTTAATTTTAGTATTTACAATATATTAGAATGAAAATATTCTTTCACAAAAATTTTCATTTCCTACGTTAGAAATTTTTATGAGCATAACATTAACGTAGGGCTAAATTAATAATTTAAACCCTATAATTTGGCGAGCCCTGTTTCGTAACGTTGAAACTGACAGACTTTTTCAAAAACAATCATTCTAGTTTTTTCTAAAGAAAATGTTGATGCAAAATCAATAAACCAAACCTTTTTTGCTAAAACAAATTGTATTGAGTAATGAGCACATTTAACATAAGACCTTCGAAATTATAAAAAAAATTGCAACTCAAAATAAAACATATAAAAAAATCTAATAAGACTAAAACAGATTTCTATTGGTATATGGAGGTTAAAATGTAGCAAATATTTTAGGTTTTATCGAGCATACAGAGCACAAAGGTGACATGCGAGAGGCCAATATATTTATGGCATTACTCGCAACGGTAACGCGTTTTTAAGTCTAGTACAAAAGAAACATCTTTTTCTGACAGTTTTACTGCTTTCTGGTTGTGGTCTGTCTGTATCCTGAGTATAATTCTGTCGTCGATGTTGAACTGATCTTGGTACATCAGTCTCTAGAGAACGGCGGTCTACCTGCTCTCTAGATAAATCTATTGCAAGTTCTCTAAGAAAATGTCTTCTTATAACTGAATAATTGTAGTTGTTAGAGGCATTTATTATTCATGCTGCCACATTTAGAAGTGCATAAAACATTACCAAGGGCCATCTGGTGTTCCTGGCCACATCATATGTTCCACATAATTTATCTAAGTCCTCCTTTTGTCTAATTATAAAAAGTGATGATTTCTGGCTTACATCTGTCTCCAAAAATGTCATCAAGTGCATCACGTGATGTAGAACTGAAAAGGAATTTCAATTTTTTTTTTCGGAACGTATGATACAATGCTAAAATTTTACTGAAATCCAAACATAGATGAATATTGTGGCCGTTTTTTCGTATTGGTGAATTCTAATGGAAGTGATGTTTTATGTTTTTTATAGTTCCTTCGAAGGTTATTTTATGATCTATAAGCAATTTATTTACTAAATCAATACTAGTAATCCAGTTGTCACAAGTAAGATTCCTGTTACTTCCTGAAATGGGCTGAAGAACGCATAAAACTATTCCGCAAGGATTATTATCTACCTACATTATAAATTCCG